ATAAAATTTCTCATATCAATAGTCGAAAACACATTTACTCACCAAGGTTCTAAAGAAACAATGGAGGATAGTTGTTACTCAAACAAAGCAATTACAAAAGCTATTACGGCCATGCTGCTGTTGAGAAACCCAGAGAATATAATTCACCATTAATCTGTCGAGAAAAAGAAAATTTTCAGAATATTTAATTTTCTATAGAATTATAAATAAAATGTTATAAAAATTAATTTTTATTTATAATTCAAAATTAATTTTTTATTTATAATATTTTAAATTGAGCCCTCAAAGAAATTGTAAAAATTAAAATATATATTATATGTTAATTTTTTATATATAATAATCTTGTTCATTATGTGCGTGAGAAAACTGATAACTGACTAAATGTATATATATATATAAACTATTTCGTTAAGGGTATGTCTAAGATACGATAATTTTAATATACGGCTAAGGAAATACACTACTGAAAATACAACAACAACAATAAAACTCAATTCCCATATGCAATGGGGTAAGAGGGAGGTAGGGTAGTAGGCTGTCCCCAACGCCAGGTTGAGAGTAGCTTCCGTGGAAGACCTCCGGTAGTCAGAAAATTAAAAATATAGATAAAATGCCATGCATGTATAAATAAATACATAAATACATAGTTAAACAATATTCATATGTAGTCATTAATATCATTAATATCATATGCACGTTTGTAATAAGAAGTAATCCCTGCAAATAAATACCTGCGAAAAAATCTCTGTATATAGACAGAAACGTAAGACCCGGCTAAATTTAAAAGTGAAGAGAATGATACACAGAAGTCAACGATAGGAAGCCCAGTTCTAAGCCTTCATAAATACCGATAACAGAAACGTATAAAATGTAGAAGTTATGGAAATTACTACAAAGACATTAAAAAAAGACAGAGATGATACACCCTATAGATGTGACCCACACTACTAGACTACCCTAGTCTTAAGTCTCCATACTTTCCTATCATAGGTCATGTCCTCGGTAAGGGCTAAATCCATCAAATCAGATCTCAAGCAGTCTTCCCACTTCCGCCTTGGTCGTCCTCTCCTTCTGGCATCGTCGACTGTAATCGACTCTACCCTCCTGACCGCATCCGACGGTAATCGCCAAGACATGTCCAAACCACCGTAGTCTTCCCTCCCTCAATTTTTCAGAACATGCACCACCTCCAAGGACATCCTAATAGCAGAGTTTGTTGCCATATCCCACAGAGTCCTACCACATGTCCATCGAAGCATTCTCATTTCTGCGGCCTCTATCCTCCTTACGTGATCCTTCTTGATTGCCCAACATTCTGATCCATACAACAGCGCTAGTCTTATTGTCATTCTATAAAATTTTCCCTTAAGTTTTAGAGGCACCTTCTTGTCACACAAAACTCCAGTAGAAGCCCTCCACTTTAGACATCCTGCCTTTATATGGTGTGTAACGTTAATATTATTTTAACATTTCCAGTAAAGTGCTACTTAAAACATTATTTTTTCTACCGGAAATGTTAATATTGGGCGCTACATAAAATGTTTAACATTTTCGGTAAAATCCTACCTAAAATATTATTTTTCCTATCAGAAATATTAATATGGACGTTAACTAAAATGTTATTTTTTCTACATGAAATTAGGTAGCGAAATTAACATTTCCGATAAAAAAATTATGTTTTAGATCGTTTTTACCGAAAATATTAAAAAAATATTAAAATTTCTGATACCATTTTTTCTTATTTATATATTAAAGATGTCGTACAACAGAACTATCTAAAATAAAAGGATTTTGAGTGCAATATATATACCAGAAAAACATTAAATATATATACCAGAAAAACATGGTTGACTTTTGAGTGCAATATAATTAACTTAAAATAAAAGGATTTTGATCACCTTTTACACGTGCTCAATTCAATTTATTCCTCACGTGCTGATAAAAATTAGCAAGAGACATCATGATCTTTTGAAGAAAAAACAAGAGAAAAAGAAAGATGATCATCTCATATATTAAATAGAAAGAGCAAAAACGAATCAATTGATTTTAGTTTTAAAGGTAATGAGTTTGAGCATTGGTAGGGATATGAACATTTATCGTCAATAGATTGAGAGCAGTGTTTTGAAATTTGGGTCGGATCGGTCGGTTCAATCGGGAATCGTTGCCTGATCCGGTTCATTCTACACCGGTTAAACTGCTACCAGTGAATCGGAAGGAACCGTTGAACAGGCTGTAAACCGTTGAACCGGTTGAAAATCGATTCTTTTTTTTCTAAAAAAATTAAATCAAACGACGTCGTTTGTTAAACGAGCTAAAAATTATCAAGTTCAACTCAAACTTGAAATATAATATTGAAACTTGAACTCAAAAAGACTCGAACTCAAAAAAAAATTAGAAGCTCGATTGAAGCCTGAAATTCAAGCTTGATTGAAGCGAAAGAATAGTTCGCTCTGTGCTCACCAAAAGGCTTCATGATTTTGAATGTCAAATTACCTCTATTATTTATAGAAGTCAATTGGATGCTCTTCTATATTTCTTAGCCATGTGGGATTGTTTTGTTTTCATATTTTTACTCTTTAAACTTTTGTGATGTTCTTTATGTTTCTTAGCCATGTAGATTTTTTTTAAAAAAAATTAAACCAAACGACATCGTTTGTTATGATTTTTTTTAGCCTCAAATTTATTTTTTTGATTATAGTTATATAATTATATTTATTATTTAATATGTTTTACCTTAAATATTATGTTGTAGTTGATTTGAATCATTTTGTTTCACTTGATTTTATGGTTTTTAACTTATATATGTTATAACTTGCTTTGAATATGACTTGTGATATAAAAAATTGTTTTTTATTAAATGTTTTTTTATATTTTTATTTAATTTTTTAAATAATTAATTAATTATGACATCGTCCAATTATTTCGACTGGTCTGATCGATTCGATCAGTTGAATCAGTGAACCGGTAACATGATCGGTTCACTGACCAGTCCAGTTCTAAAAACCATGATTGAGAGTTTTAAACATATATTATTTTATATTTATCCCAAATGTATTAAAAATATATATGAACGCGGCAAAACCGCAACATCCCCTAAAGAAAATATTGCAGTGTGTGGTTATAATCAAACTACTATTGTTTGTTCTTTAAAGGTAAACTAAGAGAATAGTGAATTTTCGTTTTCATTTTATTAATTTTAGTTATTTATTTTAAAAATATATTTTAATCATTAATATTATTGATTTATTATAAGGGTAAAGGAAGCAAGTTTATTTTAATTATTTAAAAAATAATTTAATGTGTTAAGGAGAAAAAGTAAAAGAAATATACACCCAATTTTTTGAAAAAAAATTGTGTATTAAAATTTTAGATCATTTTTGAATTATTAAATCTATCACTGTTTATTATAATCATTAGATCATCGACTGTTATTACATAATATGGTACATGAATAAAAAATTAATTTTGAATTATATATATGATTTGTAACCTCAAAATTTCTAATTAATTAAAAAAAAGGAATACTATATGTTTAATTGGGTTCATAACTATAATTTATTGAATCAAATTAATTTTAGTGGATTTTAGCATAGTATTTGTAAGTGAAATATCATTTTTAATATAATTGGTTATAAAATAAAACAAATTAAGATATTATCATAATATTATAATGAGAGGGTACGAGCTTAAAAATGAAAAGAGAGATTTAAATTAAGGCTTAATAAAAAAAATAAGTGTCAAAATTATATACTTTATTAACTTTAGGTGCTTACAGTATTTTTCATTTAAAGTAGTTATTTAACATTTTCAATATTACTTCTTTTAAGTGTCTTTTTACGACCGTTAAAAAATATTGTTATTTGACTCATGTCGCATTAATATTTTTTTAAAATCTTAAAAATATTATATTTAAAATAAAACTCAATTTCTCTAAAATAAAAAAAAATCACTAAAATCTCTAACCCTAATTCCACTCCTTTTTGTCGACCATCCCTATCACCGTCTCCCTTGCCTTCTTTGTTAACTTTAGGGATTTTATAGATGATTTTAGAGGTTTCTAGGGATTTGAAATAAATAATTTTAAAAAACTGTTTTTTAAATAATAATAATTTTAAATTTTTTAAAATAAAAATTTTCAAAAAATATATATAAACATGACATTTTTCAAAAAACAACATTTTTAACAATCGTTATGATATAAACACTTAAAAGAATAACATTGAAAATATTAAACGTTTATTTTAAATAAAAAAATTTAAACTAATAAATTAAAAATTATATAATTTAATCGATTATTTTTTTATTAGACCTTGAATTAATAATATATTTCACGTGTTTAAATGAAGGTGGTCCCACTTACGCACGTTGTTTATTAAACGAGGTGAGAAGTGAAGTGAAACTTTTGTACCCATTACGTATGTGTCATCAGGTGGGGGTGGGTCCCAACTTTTGTTTGAAATTCAGTAAAGGCAAAGACTCGTTATTGGAATTACAGCAGTTATATAATTGTAAAATATTGTTTGAAATATTATTATACAATTGTAATACCTGTAATAACCGTAATAATATTTATTGTTATCGTAATCGTAATAAATATATTATAAAAATATGATCGAATAGCATGATAGAATCATAGAAGAAGATAAAAATTGGGTCTACCGCATAGGTTGGTTAGAGTGATAATTAGTTTGATATTACTTAAGTAATGTCTCATTTTTAAGGTTTTGTGTATGCAGATAATCGTTACTGAAAAAATTACCTATCAAAATCAAGAATTACTATCAAAATCAAATGTGTGACATGTTGATCTTTTAATTTTATGTAATTAATGAAGAAGAAATACACAATGGAATGGAAAAAATACAATTTTACACCACCAACTGATTATCATCTCTAATCAATCACCTTCATCCAACTCTTTTTTCTTCTTCTGTAAAATAGAAGAGCCTATGGCGGACATTCTAAATTATTAGCTTCCAGCCCGTCTGCTACAAAATAGAATAAAAAGACGCTATTTAAGAAGTATTGGCATTCCAGGTAGTGGCGGAATCTGAAGAATACTTGTTCCCGCCAAATTCTGTTCCGGTTGGTGATGCTGGTGGCGGTGCATTGCCGTTGCTATCAGGGAAGGGGAAGTTAAGTTTAGCTCTTGGTCCGCGGAAATCGATAGCTGCTTTATCGTAAGCGCGAGCTGCTTCCTCCGCCGTGTGGAAGGTCCCGAGCCAGACCCTGGTGGCGCGCCTTGGGTCTCGAATCTCCGCCGCCCATTTGCCCCATGGCCTTTGCCGGACTCCCCTGTAGTTTTTCTTCACTCGTTTAGCTTTACTTTTAGTTGTGGACGTAACTGTCCCTTTCTTCTCGTCTTGCTGATTTGGCGGGAAAAGATCGCATCCTAGACAGCCGTAAAATTTGCACACGTGGCACTTATCCAGAGCTTCACTCACTTGAAGTACCATGTTCCCCCGATCGGCGTTCAACACACCGGTAAAAGTAGAAGTGGAAGACCCGGGAGCATCAAAATTGAAAAAAGAATCGGCGGCGGCAGCAGCAGCAGTGGAGGACGAGGAACCATTGATGACGTTCTTGAGGGAGGAAACCATGACGGAGATTTCTTGTTCCGGAGAAAGATGGTAAATTGGTGGAGGCATCGACGAGGGAGCTGGGTAAATCTCCGTATAAACGTGGGAGGTGAATAATTAAAAAAATTCAAAGTCTCTGACTCTGTAGATTTCAGTTTCTTTAGGACGAGAATCAAAAACAGAAGAGCAAAGAAGCGTTTATATACGGAGACACGGGAGAGTGTCTACGTGGCGGCATGCCAGCTGGTAACACAGTTAACACACGGCTTAAAACTGTGTTTTGTCGGGGCACGTGAGCAATTGAGGTGGCAGATGACGTCATTTATGACATCAGAAGAGGATCGGAACGGTGACGTGTTAAGTGAAACAAAGTAACAAAAGGTGAAGAGAGTTTGGGTCCACTAAAGCGATGGTACTTCATTTATATTTCTCCTTTTTCTTTTTTCTTTTGGTATGACCCACCAACATATTCAACATCAAAATAAGAAAAAAATAATAATATGCTTAAATAAAATGATCTTAATGATAAAAGAATTATTGTTATTTTTTGAAGTCTCAAATTCGAGTACTATAAATGTTAGAAGTATACCCGTTCAATGTAATTGAAATAAACTTATTCCGTGCACACCGAATACACCACGAAGCAACTAAACTCTTTAATAGCTTACTTGTATTTGGACTATAAATCTTGTTTATGATTTGAGATTACTTGTAAATGGAGCTTTGATTTATAAACGTATTTAGATGCCTATTGTCCATCCGTTTCTGGATGGTAAGCAGTACTGAATAGGGTTTTAGTCCCTAATTACTTCATTAGTTCTCTCCAAAAGAGGCCAGTGAATGTCTTGTCTCTGTCTGAAATGGCCATTTTAGGCTGCCCATGAAGCTTATAGACATTATCCAAATAAAGCTTAGCTACATCAGATGTAGAGTAAGGGTGGGACAGTGCTCACAATGACTATACTTGGTAAACTTGTCTACCACTACCAGAATGCAATTCTTCTTCAAGGATGTAGGTAAACCCTCTATAAAGTCCATAGTAATTACCTCCCAAGTTTGTTGAGGAATAGGTAGAGGTTGTAACAGACCTGGTTTAGGTATATGCTTCACCTTAGTTTGTTGGCAAACTGAACATGATCTTACATAAGTAGCCACCATACCCTTAAGCCTAGGCCAATAGAAATAAGATATGATCCTTTGATAGGTGGCTTGGGCTCCTGAATGACCTCCATGAGGTGAATCATGCAAGGTTTGAAGAATATGTAATCTTAGAGACCCAACATCACCAATATACATCTGTCTTTAAATCGAATGATACATTTTGAATATTTCCATTTAGGATCATCATTAGAATTGACAGCCATTATGGAAATCCATTAAGTAACCATTGGGTCCTCCTTATAATTGTCTTGAACTTCCTGAACTCAGCTAGGTATTAATAAAGTAGTTCCCATAACAAGACATTGAACTTGATCTTCTCACTGTCTAGATAAAGCATCTGCCACCACATTTGATTTGTCTTTTTTGTATTGAACAATGTAGTCTAGCCCCAGTAATTTAGTCAATCCTTTCTTTTAAATGGTGGTAGTTAATTTTTGCTCCAATAGATACTTCAGAGGTTCATGGCCAGTTTTGATTACAAAAGATTTTCTTTCTAAGTAATGTCTCCACTTAGAAACTGATAATAAAATAGTAAGATACTCCCTTTCATAAATGGATAGGGCAACATGTCTAGGACTAAGAGCTTTACTAAGATATGCAATAGGTCTGTCTTTTTGAGATAATATAGCACATATGCCCCCAGAACTGGCATCTATCTCTAAATATAAACTCTTACCAAAATCCGGTAGAGCAAAAACATGGGCAACACACATAGCTCTTTTCAAATCTTCAAAAGCAGTCAAGGCTGCACTGTCCCACTTAAAATTGTCCCACTTATATCTATCTCTAAATATAAACCTTCTGTAGTAGCATGTTAAACCCAAAAACCCACGCAAAGATTTTAAGGATTTAGGCACAGGCTAATTCCTCATTGCTTCCACCTTACTAGGATCAGTAGTTACTCCTGCAGCTGAAATAATATGTCCCAAATACTTCACTTGAGTCTGTCCAAAGAAACAGTTGGACAACTTTGCAAATAACTGGTTAGCTTGCAAAACATCCAAAAACCAATTACAAATGAGTAATATGGTCTGTCATAGAACTGCTTTATACTAGGATGTCATCAAAAAACACCAAGACAAACTTTCTAAGGAATTAACTAAATAATTCATTCATTAATGCTTGAAATGTAGTAGGGGCATTAGTGAGACCAAAAGGCATTACCTTAAATTCATAGTGGCCTTGATGAGTTATGAATGTTGTTTTATAAATGTCTTCATTCTTAATTCTGATTTGCCAATAACATGATCTAAGATCAATCTTTGAAAAATAGACAACACCATGTAGTTCATCCAATAAATCTTCCAAAATAGGAATATGAAATTTATCCTTGACTGTCATACTGTTTAGCTGTTTGTAATCTATACAGAACCTCCAAGTACCATCCTTTTTTTAAATTAGGAGACATGGAGAAACAAATGGATTTTTTCTAGGTTAAATAATAGAGGAGGAGAGCATAGTAGCAATTTGTCTTTCCACTTCAGCTTTCTGGTTATGGGGAAATCTGTAGGGCCTTAAATTAATATGAGTAGAGTCAGGCTTAAGAGGAACAACATGATCATGGTTTTTTGTAGGTGGAAGGCATGTAGGTTTAACAAAAATAGAGTTGTATCTCTCTAATAGAGGTTGAATAGCTGCAGGAATAAGTTTTGAACTCTCTGTCATATTCACCAGTACTACATGCCCTAAAATAATAGAGTCTGAAGCTTTCATTTTCAATAGTGTATCCCCTGAAATTTGCTACAAAAAATTTGAGGGTTGTTGGCCATGTATAACAATATCTTCATCTTGATGTACAAAACTTAGTGTCATTTTGCTGAAGTCCATCAAGATTGGACTAAATAATTTCATCCAGTCAACACCTAACACGATATCACTTCCACCTAATTTAAGAAGTCTAAAATCATGAATAAAAGAATGTCCCTGCATCTGCCATTCTACCTTATTACATCTTGCTGAGCTATAGAGTTGTTGTCCATTAGCCACTGTAATAGCCAAAGAGTAAGGTGTAGTCACTTGAATACCAGCATCAGCCCATTGTGGTGTTAAAAAATTGTGGGTACTACCACTGTTAATTAAAATATTTAATGGTCTACCTTGAATGGTGCCTTTAATTCTCAATGTATTATGGCCAATACACCCAGTGATAACATTCATAGATATTTCTAAGCTCTCCTCTTCTTGTAACACTTGCTGATCTGAATCATTTGGTAAGGTTTCTGAATGTAAAACAGTCTTATCTTCAATCATCATGTTCAAATGTCTTGTCTTACATTGGTGGCCTGGAGCAAATTTTTCACCACACTTAAAACATAAGTTATTCTGTCTTCTGTAGTCTAGAAGATTCTGTTTTGGAGGTATAATGTCTGGCCTCTTTTGTGGTAATAGTGGGGGATTTGGTTTAAAAGTAGGTAATGGGTTTGGGTAGAGTGGGTTTCTAAAAGATGTTCGCACTCATTTATTCTCAAATTCAACAGAGAGCTCATAAAGTTTATCTTGCATGAATACTTCAGAAAGTGTCTTAGGTTCTAGAGCCTTAACTCTGTGTTTAATGTCTTCTCTTAATACACTGATAAAAAGAGACACAAAGAACTCTTTACCTAGATTAGGGTTTTGTAAGAGCATGTGAGGCTGTAGTTCCTCAAATCTGTCCTGGTACTCTTCAACTGAACCTTTCTGAACTAATTTTGTAAAGTCCTCAACTATGTCAGCAAAGGACCTGTCGTTGAACCTATGAAAAATGTCTGCCTCAAACTCACGCCATGTCACATGGTGCTTCTGCATGATGTAACCATCAAACCAAATTTCTGCCTTACCCATTAAATACATTGTGGCCACCTCCACTCTTTGTTCCTTCGCAATACTACATAGAGAAAAGTACTTAAGACATTTTTGTATCCACCCTCGTGATTAATTCCTTCAAAAAAGGCAGCACAATCTTGGGTCTATGCCATATCAATCCTGAAGTGTTAAAAGACCCCCCGTACCTCTTTTATCCTCCTCTAGGCCAACTATATTGTTTCTAACAACACTGTTCTCGTCCATTTGGTTATCATTTTTAAAACTAGGCAATTAATCTGGTTTTGATCTTAAAATCTCAGGTTCATCAGGTTTATAAGTAAACCTGGTCTTATCATTAATCACTGTGACTTTTACAGGTTGTTTTCCATCTGTTCTAGAAGTGTTAGGGGTCTGTACCTGGTCATTAGCAGACTGGTTCTGATCCCCGTTTCTTCCAGTTAGAATCTTCAAAAGTTCCTCCACGTACCATTGATTTGTGGCCATCATGGATTCCAAAAAAGTGATACAGTTCTCTTGGTTCTCCCACCATTTAGGAATTTTAGTATTATCTTGAGATTGTTTGACCAAATTAAGTTGCTAATTCTTCAAGTTATTTTTGTAATGCAGCGAACTCAGGTGTTTCAGACATGGTTTGGGTTTTCTTTGGCATTCCAACGATGATTTCCATGAAATTTTGCCTCTGGAAACCAAATTGTGATGGTTGCAAGATATTGGAAATAGAGAGAAGAGATTTCAGGAAGAAGAAGCAGAAAAGAGATAAGGAATCAAGATTTCATTCAAAAAGCATGCATAATTCTCCCTTTATGGGTACCCGTTTTATTTATATACAATAGTACTAGAGAATCTAGCTAAGCCAGTTGGATGTCCTTGCCTAACTAATTTGGTTACTTCCACAGGGATTGGGCTTCACATTTGGGCTGCTCGATTACTGGATTAATTACCGCCTGTGCCTCTCACGTGCCAAATGCCATGTATCAATTCCCAATTCTGCTTTCAATCCCTAACCCTTGTCTCTCTCTTTCCCCAATTTCCTCTTCGCTTTCTAGTCCTTCTGAACTTTTTAAGGACAATTTTGAAATAAGGCATAAACTTTCTTCTTCAAATATCAGTTAGCAAAACCTACAGGTGAAAGTTAAATAATCTTTCCATTTTAGTATGTAGCTTATTTGAAATTGTCCCTAGATCTTTT